TCTCTTTCTCTTTCTCTTTCTCTTTCTCTTTCTCTTTCTCTTTCTCTATTTTATAAATAGATAAGCTTAAAAAAGAAAAGTAGTATAACTCAAATTTGTTATTTCTTCAGTATAGGAAGATATTCTAATGACTTCATAAGTTTGAATTATTTTATCAGTAGTCAAAATGTTATACATTTGTACAGTGCTTGAAAATAGTTTATACTGAAGTTTTCTAAACATCATCCGTGCAGTCAGGTTCACTGCTTATCAAGGTTCACTGCTCATCAAGGTTACTGTCTTGGCACAAACAGATGGCTAGCAAGGCCCCTACAGTATGAACTGTGACAGATTCTAAGTGAAATGTCTGTTGGATTGAATGGCTGTAAGTTGTGTTTTTTTTTCCTGTATGGACATATTTAGTACGTACATATATTTTTAAGTATTATAGATGTTAGTATGTTTTGGGTTGTTTTTTTCCCCCAAGACTGCATTTTTAAGTATGTAGTCCCACTAACTGATTGCCCTATGTTGTTCAGGAAGATCTGGGAGGAATCGATGAGTAAAGATAGATAGCAAATTAGGAGGTAAGTAAATGACATTTAGGTGATTGAAAGTAGTAATGAGTGCTAAGAAGAAGTATCATCGATCAAAACAGAAGAGAATGGGGATACTCAAAAAGAGATATATGTGGGATGAATCTTGACTTGCTGAACTGATTCCTTAATTTGTACATTATATAGTAGGAACTTGTAAAGGATAGAAGGATAATCTATAAATTTGTGCTTGTACTGACATAGTTAGAATGGGGAGGAAGGCACTAAAGAGCCATAAGCTAGTGTTGAACAGTGGTTCTCACACTTTTTGAACAAAGCTTATGAACTGGGGTAAGAAACTCATTAATAACTTCTTGCCTCTTTCTACATCTTCTCCAGCTGCTCTGTGACCTTGCACAAGCTATTTACCTTCTACAAGCCTCTGTTTCCAGTAGGGAAAATAAGAGTGGATAGGTGCTTTAAAAGTATGCTAAGTTGGAGTAGGAGTCGAAGACCAGATTGATTGCGGTGTGAACTCGTAAACCAGGGTTCTCTCTCTGCTCCTTCTCCCACTGAAGACTTCATCTGGATTTTAGCCTTGTGAAATTCTTTTCTTTAGAAGAACAGAAGAAACGTGTTTTTCATGTTTCTTTTCAACCAGAAGGAAAGACTATGCCCAAATTATCATATTGGCCTTAGTATTTCAGTATTACCCTGAGTGATATCATATGTATGTTATTAAAAGAAGTGAGGTGTTTGGGATGGAAACTTTTCTGTCGCATGCTTTTGTTTCACCATCTTATATTTACTTCAGTTTCTCATTTTCTTGTCTAATTATTTATGCTCACGAAGCCAAAAACCTGACACTTAAATGATGGCATTGTGCAGACTGAACTAGTCAGCACATCTGCTTCATAGTCTTTTTTCCTCCTATGTTTTAGGGCCATCTGTCTATGCTGTCTCTCTCTTCAGTATAATTAAAAGATAAAAGCTTCCTTAAATGTTTCTGAAATTTTTAGAATCTGGATGTTCTTTGAAATTATAGCAGACTTATAGGCAAGATGTTGAAATTATTTCGTTGGTGTTAAATAGCAAGAATACTCTATGAACTCTAACAAGAAGTGTCAGTAAATTACTGTAACCCAGGGTTTTGTTGTGTTTTAAATATAATCGAAGAGATGCATACTTCCTGTAGCACATCCTTTCTGGCAGACATTAGAGTTGGCATTGTCATCAGAGGATGAACCTTTTCATCCATCAGTAAAGTTTTCAGAAGGGCATGATTACATTTCATTATAAGAAAGCACTAAGGCCCTTAGGCCTAGGCAAGACAGGCACTTGCCCTGGACTCCAGACTTGGAAAACTCCCCAGTGGCTCTCTTCCAGTCACACCCCTCCCATAGGATGAGAAGTGTGCAGGGCCAAGAAATGTCCACCTACTGTTCACCCTCTTTCCTTCAACACTGCACTCTGAGCCAGAATTCATGCTCACATGTCCTCAGATCCAATTGCATTCAAGGAGTGGCCAAAGCTGTTTATGAGGAAAGCAGGTAGATGAGCTTAAACATAGGGGATGTGTATCCACACCCACATAAAGTTCCACTCAGTGTCAGACAGGGTGGGGGGTGAGAGGAGAAGGGGGGCAGGCCATAGCCAGTCAGTGGGGGTGCAGCTCCCATCCTCTGCCATCTTCCTGCATGGAACTCCGAGAAATTCAAGAATCCTGAATTTAAACCTCACCTGCTAGGACATTATTTAACAGTTATTCATCTAATTTATAACTTTTAAATGTTTAGACATATAGTACATGGATCTCTGATTGTATTCTCACTCTGAGTCCCAGAAAGGAAGGGACAAGGAGATCACTTGAACCTGCATTTCTCCTTGTGGGTAAGCCTATGTCCATTGATCCTTTGTCAGTTGAATACTGGATTAGGTGCTCTAGGATAACTTTACAGTGATTCCTTTAGCTGTAGTCTGGTCCAAGCTATGCCCTGGCACTAGAATGAGGTGACTCAAAGAGTGCCCCTTGGTTTTGGTGTGCAGTGCTATACTCGAAACTTAGGTGCGTGCTGAGCTACCATGGAAGCAAGTGGAAAGATTTAGTGACTGGGGTGTTTAGGGCCCACAGGGACAAGGGAACATGAGAAATTGGATGATACTGTGGCCAAAATGATTTCTTAGGATTATAAGTGAATTTCAGTTTTCCACTCACTATTGATTATTAGGTGTTGGGCCTTCACCCCCTAAAATCTTGAGTAAATCTGTACCTACTTAAATATTTTTAGGTGTAAAAAAAAAAAAAAAGGTGAGAGAATAATTAGGATAAGAAATTATCAGAGTTAATTCCTTTCCATCTCTGTAAATGCTGTTTTATAAGAGAGGAAATAACAAAACAAACCAGCATCATCAGTCTGTCTGGTGTACTATTTATGTCCAAAAAAGAATTTTGTAAGTGAAAATGTTAATGCTTCCAGAATTCCAATAACAAGTTCTTCTAACTTAAATGATATTAGTTTGTTCTATGTACAAATAATATTTCCTGAGCTTGGGATATTAATTTCAAATATTTTCAAAATTTATAGAAATACTTTTTTCTTTTTATTTGTTTATACATTAGTAGCACTTGGGGCGCCTGGGTGGCGCAGTCGGTTAAGCGTCCGACTTCAGCCAGGTCACGATCTCGCGGTCCGTGAGTTCGAGCTCCGCGTCGGGCTCTGGGCTGATGGCTCAGAGCCTGGAGCCTGTTTTCGATTCTGTGTCTCCCTCTCTCTCTGCCCCTCCCCCGTTCATGCTCTGTCTCTCTCTGTCCCAAAAATAAATAAACGTTGGAAAAAAAAAAATTATACATTAGTACCACAAACTGGGAATTTTCATTTTTCTCTTAAATTAATTTTTTGAATAATGAAAACTTACACCCTTACATATAAAAGTTTTGCTGTAATCATTTCTTAACAGTTAAAATTATATAATTTATATACATATATACATAAACATAGAGAAATAGAATGTATATTTTTCCTGTGTTTATCAAAGAAATAATTCCAAATTATTTAATAGTACTGATATTGTTAAACCTTAAATACTTTGAATTTCAAGACCATTTGGTAAGAAAAGACTTTAGAATGTAGATTTGTTGATTATCAAATATTTTTCACATCTGTAATTTAATTATATAGCTGTGAATATAAGGCTTAAAAAATGAAATTATTAAAATGAATTTAAGAAGAAATAAATTAGGCTTTAATTTCTTAGAATGTAATGCTTTTAATATGTTATAATTACAGATATGAGGAAATAAGACTTAGTGAAGTCATTTTTCAAACTACAGAGGTATTTACAGTTTTAAAAATAGATATCTCAGAAAATAAAATGAAAAAATTTCCAACTTTCAGATATTCAAACTACTGATGAATATTTATTTATTTATTTATTTATTTATTGTTAATGTTTATTTTTGAGAGAGAGAGACAGAGTGTGAGTGGGGGAGGGCAGAGAGAGAGGGAGACACAGAATCCGACACAGGCTCCAGGCTCTGAGCTAGCTGTCAGCAGAGTCCATCATGGGGCTCAAACTTAATGAACCGTGAGATCATGACCAGAGCCGAAGTCAGACACTCAACCGACTGAGCCACCCAGGGGCCCCCTGATGCATTTTTAAAGCATGTAGGCATTTTAGTGAAATTTGAGCTTGCCTAAGTATAGAAGCTGAATCTGTGCTTTCACTTAGTCTAGTGTTACTTTATTTAATTTATTTATCAATGAGAGAAAATGAATCACTTTCTAGGTTTATACTACAGAAAGTGCCGGTTAATTTCCAAGGAAGGCGTTACTCATGATACGAAGCTTTTCTGCCTGATGCTGCCACCAAGCACTCATCTTCAGGTGCCAGTTGGGCAACATGTTTACCTCAAGTTAACTATTACAGGTAAGGTAAATAAAGGTTTTGGGGAAACCGTTTCTTTCCTTATTAGCAGTTGCAAATCAGTACTAATCCTTTTAGGAAGTAACCATTTAGGTTATTAATAAATGTTTCTGGCAACTAATAGCCAGGTTCTAGGTTCGTAGATGCAGCGTTCCTGCGTGTTGGAGCCGCAGCCCTGCCTTATCACTGTAGGGAGCGAAGAAACTGCCGGTCAGAGAGAGAGTTCCACCAGCACGGTTACTTATTACTGAGAACACTAAGGGAAAGAGGGGAGGGAGTGCCTAAGTGGTCCTTCAGGGAGACAGCCACTAGAAACACATCCCAGTATCTCTTAGTAACCATGTATGGTTGTGTCATTTCGGAAGTTGAATGTGTAAAACTGAAAATGAGTGATGATTAGAAATGATTTCCTTACATGTGCTGCCAGTATAAGAAGTTCTATAAAGATAGTCCTTACTTGATTTCTTTCTCCCTGATTTTCATCCTAAAGTTACTTCATTTACTCATTTCAAATACCCTTCTTATCCTTCTAACATTTTCTTGGCCTTCTGAAGCTGCAGAAGGTCACATTCTCATGTCAGTTAGTCTTCCCTGCAGTCAGTCTAGCAGACTGCCAGCTGGGGGTTGGTAGGTACAGTAGGTTCCCACGGCACTATTAAGTTTCCCTCCTCACCATCACCAGTGCCAGGCTGTCAGTCAGTAGCTGCTGTCTTCCCAGTGTGGTCATTGTCGATGTATTATAATTTTACGGGTGGATCAATTTTTAGATGTCAAGGAGCCATGTATAAAATTCTGGTCTTAAAAATGTGTGGGGACTCCTCTTTCTTTGGAATTTGGCTAGCTAAAATATAACACAAATTCTTATTAGATTCGTGTTTTTTAATAGTATATTGTTGGAAGTAGTTGGATTAACATTTTTTCTTTCAGTTGCCAAAGCAATATATATTAAAAAATTAAAACAGCTCAAAATGTATAAAGTAAAAAGTGAAATTCTTCCCTTTCTTAACCCAATAATCCCAATGGCCATCTGTAACCATTGTTAAAAATTTGGTGCATAATTAAAATTGTTACGTAAGTACCTTCTTACACCTCTGTGTAAACTTTTGATGTCTTTTTTTTTTTTTGTGGCCCATTACAAAGTTTATATGCTGATGGAATAGATGGATGTCTACATTTATTACCATGAGTCCCTATCATACTGCACATAATAAATGTACATTGTTTATATGATGGGTAAAATATTGATTTGTTAAGTTTATTTCAGCATGCATAAGCTTCAGGGGTGTGTGTGTGTGTGTGTGTGTGTGTACATCTAATGTGTATATGATTCTAAGTACATGTTCTCTGTATATAGTATGTGTGTGCATCTCTAGGGAGAATATATAGTTAGAATCATATACATATTAGATGTACAGTTTTCAATATGTAGTGATAGCATCATAATATTTGTATGTTTCATCTTTATTCAGGGCTTTTGAGATTTTTAAAATTGAATTTCTGTGTCATGACTTTTTCCAGGTACTGAAATTGTGAAGCCGTATACACCTGTATCTGATTCCTTACTCTCAGAGTTCAAGGAACCAGTTCTTCTCAACAATAAATACATCTACTTTTTGATCAAAATCTATCCTGCTGGACTCTTCACACCAGAGCTTGATCAGCTTCAGATTGGTTCGTATTCTTTTTTTAAACCTCATTTCTGTTCTAGATAAGAGCCCGTGTTATACTTATCCTCTGGTTATATCCATGTGGGAGTCTATCAAATATCTCAGACTCAACTTGTCTGAGACCAAAGTCGTGTTCTTTTTGTCCCACCTAATCTACCCTTACTCCCATATTCCTCATCTTTATTATTTATAGCATCACAGTTCATTTTTGACACCATCGGGAGGCTTGAGTTATCTTTGAATCTTCCCATTTTCTCCCTCCCAATCCAGTCAGCCACTAAGGTCCAGTGAATCTACCTCCCAGTGGCTTTTTAATCTTTTCTTTTCCTTCCCTTCTGCCGCCTTCTCGGATCAAGCCTTCATCATCCCTCATGACATCTAACTGCTCTCTCTCAGTCGCCTCTAATGGAGTCCTTCTGTTTCTGTTTATCTGCATTTCCAAGCTGCCCTGAGGAGAAATTTAATCATGTTTCTCTGCAGCTTTGAGACATCTGACGGGTGTCCATTACTTAACGGTTAAGTCCTCTGCATGGCCTATAAAGACTTTCATGATCTCTCCAGCTGCATCTCTCATGTAACTACTTGTATAAATACAAGTTCCACAAGCTTGTCACCCTCATTCATAGGTACATGCAGTTGCCTCACATAGGACACCCATCAGCCCTTCCTCTACCTGTCAGGTACCTTTTTTTTTTTGAAAGACCCAAACAAAATACCACTTCTTTTAGAAGCCGCCCTTCTCGTGAACCCCTCAGTAACTAACACTTTGTTCATAGTTCTCAGATAAGAATAAATAACGTTCCTTCTTTACAAAACTTTGAGTTTGAGGGTAAAGATTGTCTTCCTTATCTTTATAGTTCCTATACCTCAGCATGGCAATTGGCACATAATATGCTCTCAATAAGTGTACTTTGAAAGAATTAATAAAAAGACTATGATGAAATCTATTGTGATTTCAAGACCCCTGTTCCTGTTTCTATTCCTTTTTCTGTACCGTCAACTTTTCACTGCCTTTTGTTTGACAGTAAAAGTGCCCTTCCTGTTTTTAACATAGCATTAGCAGTAACATCGAGGTGCCAGTGAGATAGGTCATTAAAATTTGGAAATAAAGAAAATTTGTTGCTTTCTGGAAGTTAAGCCAGTCTCTACATAATGGATATGATTAGTCCTCTTTGGTTACAAAGATCAAAATATTGAATATGAATCAGAACCTAAATAATCTTGGAATCCCTGCAAATCTAGTGAAGGTGACTATCATCTTGTGGTAGCCTGACATGTGATTATAGATAGCATGTGGAAACTGAACCAGTGTTATTATAACCTTTTAATAGAGATCATGTGAACAGAGCAGGGTGGAGATTTAGCCTAGAGCATGAAAGGGAAAGCCCAAAGAATAAGATGAGTGTTTTTTCAGTTTCATCCAGGGGAGCTAGACATGGCCCCAATACCTGTGTCCCTTGGAAGGACACACTGGCATGATAGTGATAACTCATGAAAGCCTCGTCATGGCTTAAATGAGCTACGCTATAAAATTATCCACGTCTTTGTTTCAACTCCATGTTCACCAAGCAACTCTTATATGATTATTTTGGCCTTCCAAGTGTTCTGATACTGAGAATGAGATGCCCTGGAAGGGGTGTGTGATGTTCAGGTCACTAGGTACAGATAGCCTTTTGTAAATGAATTGCTGTTCTGGCCGGTATACTTTTAACATCTTGTGAACTTGATTAAAATCCGGTATCTTGCCTGAGTCTAGTTTTATGACGTTGAAGGACTGGACTGTTGACAGAAGTTATCAAGTTAATGTCATTCTGTGAGGCATCTTTAGTAAACAACCAGCTGACTTTTTCCTGAAGATGTTCTGATCTTATGGTCCTTTTAAACTATAACAGGGAGCTTCTGTTACCTTCCAATACTTAATTCATCAGTTACTGCAAGATCCTTACTATCCCGCTGTGGACAAGAAGGAAAAATTATGAACATCCAAGCATTTAAAGAAATAAAGCAAATTATTTGAAATTGTTTTTAAAACATGTTTAACTTTTCTATTTTTAAAATTACATTGAAAATTTCTGAAATGTCTTAAAGGCAGTTCTCTTATATGAGTGGTACATAGTGGTTATATAAAAATGCACTACAGAAAATGTTTTGCTCAAATATTTTTATTCTAGATTGAGAAGTAGCATGCTCTAAGTACAGTTTCTGATCTTGCTTTGTTTTTATAGGTGTTCAATTGAGAACAGCTGTTGTTTTAATAGGTTTTTCAAAGATTTCATGAAGGTGAAGTTAGCACATTTTCTAATGTAAGATTTTAGAATACTTTTCTATTTCCATTTTCTCTCCTACTAGTTTTATTGCTATGGCTAAGAATCCATATGTAAGCAGTGAGTATATATTCTCCACCTTGTACTGTGTAAGACAGGTATACATAGACACTGCTTTTGAGGTGCTTATAATTTAGTTTAGCAATCAGTCCTTTACTGAGAATTTGTACTTAAGTGCTTGTCAGTGGTTTGTAAATTAGAGATTCCAGATGGTTTGGGAAAATAATGTTGGGAAATGAGTGTCATAAAACCTCATTATTAATTTGGTTATAAGGATATAATCCAGACATACTTGGGGGCTTAATGAGTATTCCCCAAACTCCTTACATACCTTAAAGACTAAGATGTAGTCTGAAAGTTATGAATTCATCCTGTTACTCCTCAGTGTTCTAAATTTAGCTAGGCTAACGTCAGTTTCCCTGATTTTTTTTTCTTCTGATTTAGTTTATATTTCATTGTTTAGGAGATTTTGTTTCCGTAAGCAATCCTGAGGGCAGTTTTAAAATATCCCAGTTCCAAGAATTAGAAGATCTCTTTTTATTGGCAGCTGGAACAGGCTTCACACCAATGGTTAAAATACTGAATTATGCTTTGACTAACATACCCAGTCTCAGGTATGTAACTTTATCTTTAATTACTATCCTCTATGAGGCTATTAGATTAGTGTAAGGTATTCTAAATTAATTACTCAGTGGACCTTAATAGACGTATTCTCATTTCCTCATTTATCATTTCCTTACCCTACGTCTTCTAGTCCTAGCTGTTTTACTAACTTGATTCTTTTATTTTTGATACTTTGGGTTACCTAATTGGCACTAAAAAACATTCATGCCAGTTTACGTTTAGACTTTTCCATTCATGCATATTTTAAATGTAACTGAAATAGTTCTTTTTGAGTTGTTGTTGTTTTTTCTTTTAAGGAAAGTGAAGCTGATGTTCTTCAATAAAACAGAGGATGATATAATTTGGAGAAGCCAGTTGGAGAAATTAGCATTTAAAGATAAAAGGTATTAAACCGGTGTTAGCTCTGCACTTAAATATTCAAAAATGTATAGTCAGTCTAGGCCTTATCTCCTTTGATTGGAGTGTTTAATTAGCCAGGAAGCCCCGTCAAAGAAAAAATAAACTAATCAATAATTCCCTCAATGCAAGTAATGTTAATATCCCTCCCCCAAAGAAATACTGTTCGGTAAGATTAATACGACATCATATATGTATTGATAAAATATATACTGGGCGTTATGTTTTAACGTGTTACTTACTCTGAGTTGAGTTTCACTGAAAATGATCTAGTATAGCCAATTTGATGATTCAAGATTTTCTTGCTATAGTGGGTGCAAATCAAATAAATGTGATAAGATGGATCAAGCAAAAATAAATATATTTCCTTACTACAAGATTTCTTAGAGCCTTTGTGACTTTAGAGGGGGGCTTCCTTATGCATGTTCAGTTAAGATTTTCTTCATTTTTGTTTGTCTACATTAAGTCATTAATAGCTGTTAATACTGGTGGTCCTCAGTACGCACCTTGGGGAATGCTGGCATAGGCAATAGAAAAAAGTTCGAGCCAGGCTGAACTCTGGTAGAATGAGAACGCATGGGAATCTGTTTCACTGAAGAAAGCCCTAGCACAGTCAGCTGAAACTAGATAGTTGAAATGGGCATATGCCCTATCTCCCCTAAAGAGAGTTAAAAGCAGCAGGAAATTCTGAAGGTATTGTTTGGAAGAGTGAATTGGAGGAGCTGTCATACTTTGTAAAGCATATCTGTAGTCATCCAAAGCTATGTTTAAGAAATTCAGGACTTCATAAGGACTTCACACAAAATATCTGAAGTAAATATGTTTAAGATTATACAGGACAGATAAAATTTCAGGCTTTTTGAAAGTTCGAGTTAAAGATGTCAACAACTCAGCTGTTCTGGGACTCTGTTTCTTGTGACTACTTTCCGAACGTCCTCAGTGTGGGAATGAATGGCCACCTTTCGTTTTTCCTCCCTCCTGTCTTCCATCCTCTTCCCCTCTCTCTCTTCATAAATAACGTTCACAAATTAAAGATGACCTGACTCACTTATCCTTGAAGTATTGAGTCTTCTTACATACTTAAACCGTAAACCTAAAAGTATTTGTATTTAGGTAGCCGTACGACAGTTTAGAGCATGATTTAAAGAAATACAAATTCCTAGGTTTTCAAGCGTCTTTTTCACACTTTTGAAAGTGGAAAGTTAGAAGCGGCGTGTACCACAAAGCCTAAAGCCTAAATTCTGGTTTTCATTCTACCCTTCACCAGCTTGGACCTTACTCAAAAATTACTTAGCTCTGTGGGCCTGTCTCTTTATCTTCCAAATGAAATAATGACATCTTTCCTACTTACTTCGTAAGGCTAATGTGATGATTGGAGAAGATTGTGTAACTGCTTTGGAAACTGAAGGCCTACCTCAGATACTTGAATTGTGGCTTAGAAGAACTCTACGTACATGCGTTTCATTTCTGCATTAACTGAGCTCCTGTTTTCCTGATCAAACATTTAAAAGAATTTAAACAGCATTGCTAAGCTTTTTAACTGTAGGGTTGTTTTAAAAAAAATGTTTCTGACAGCGTTTTGACAAAGTTATTTTTGAACATAGTTCCCTTGTACGAGAGGATCCATTTGCTATTATTTTCATGAACAGACATTGTACTTTTAGACTTTCAGTAGGAGCTAAACTTGATTTAAGAAGTACTTGGTAAAAAGAAATGTGTTGACAGCCTCTGAACATAAAGTGTGTTTTCTTTTGTTTCATTCTGTTTTGTTTTGGTCTAGATAATTTGGGTTGGTGGATTGCATAGGCTGGAATATTGAGGGTGAGGAAAGGCCCCTTTTTTTTCCTATCTGGATGCCTGGCTCTAACAGCATTCACCAGGGGAGTGGACTCTCCAGCTTGCTGAGAGAAGTGATGGCGCTCTGACTTCTGGCCTACCTTTATCCTCCCTCTTCTCCTTCTGTTTCTCTTCTTGCCCTCCCCTCATGCTCCTGGGTGCTCGCTCTCTCTACTCGCTAACCTCCTCCTTCTTCTTGGAGACATAATTGTCCTTGCTTGAGGCACTCTGTTGGCACGGACTTCTAGTGTTGTATGATTGCCGCTCCCTGGAGACTCGTGTCATGCCCTCACTGGAAAACAAAAAGGCCGTGCTTGTATGGAATGTTTACCAGGAATGTTACCATATTCTGAGGCTTTATGAGAAACCCAGCCTTAAAGGCTTATTGATGGGTTTTTAGCACTATTGTTGAGTCCCATACAAAAAAGGAAAGTAAAAACTCAGATTTAATATAAGGTTATTTTAATTAGTCACATCTGTATTTTAGTTAGTATTTAAGGGCATCTTTTATGTATTAAACCATCCTTTCCTACATCTTGACTTTCCTGTATCACTCCTAATTTTAGTAATAAAGTTTCTGATGACAAAATGTGACACCTGAACATATTAAAATAATTATTGGGTTGTAAATATCTTTTTAAAAATCCTTCTAAATTTTGTAGTTAAAGCAAGTGAAATACCTTACTCTGTAGGATTAGGTCTCAGCCTTCCACTCAGTCCTTGTGGAACAAGAAGGGACAGATAGGATGGATATTGAGGCTAAGATATGATCTAATACTCTGATTTTCAGCGAGCATGCTATGCTTGCCCTCCAAGTTTATCTAGATAATATTAACAGATGAAATTCTTAGAAAAATCATTGCATAATGGGAGCTTACTAACCTTGTGACCTTGGGCAAGTTATTTGATCTGACTGAGCCTCAGTTTTTCCGCTTGTAAAAATAAGGATATCAATTACCTACATCATAGAATTATTTGGCTACAGGGGTCAGTGAGACAGTTTGTGTAGGTGCCTAGCCCATAATTAGCGTATTTGTAACATGGATTCATTCATTAAATAAATGTGAGCTCTGCTATGTGCCTCTCTACACAGGGGCACAACAGTGAACAAGATACTATGTTGGCTTATTTTCTCATACAATCCAGGGAATGTATCTCTTCATTTACCCACATTGCTAAACTTAATAGAATTGCAAAACACAGGTACACTATAAGTACTTTTATGGGATGTTTCTATTTCAGTCAAGTTTCCATGTCATTAAATATAAAATTTGAACAGAGAACAGCTTACTTGAATTTTATCCAAATATGTCCAGTAGTTAGGACTCCATTCACAGCATTTCAAATCTAGCAAAATCTCACACATTTATTTTTCTTAAGAAATTTGAGAGGAAACAGAAGGCAAAAATGTGTGGTAGTAGCTATAGTTAATTACTATGTAAACTGAGATCCAAATTAAATTCCGTTTATCTCTCTCTTGACCTCTGAACAGTGTTATGCATGAGGTCCCATCCCTGTAGAATGCCCTAGCTCTGTGAGTTCTCAGCTTTTGCAAAATGATTTTTGATGGGCGGGATAGCTTGACATTGAGATTGACCTCTGGACAACATTTTGTAATATATAAATTTTTTTTTAATGTTTATTTTTGAGAGAGAGACAGAATGTGAGTGGGTTGGGGCAGAGAGAGAGGGAGGCACAGAATCTGAAGCAGGCTCCAGGCTCTGAGACGTCAGCACAGAGCCTGACGCAGGGCTCGAACTCATGAACCGCAAGGTCATGACCTGAGCCGAAGTCGGACGCTCAACCGACTGAGCTACCCAGGCACCCTGTAATATATAAATTTAATAGGTATTTTCCCTTCCCTTTCAAAACATTTTTGGAGAAAACCTTCTTTTAATAAAGCTATCTCCTTGTCTCGCTCTCTGACACACACATGTGTGCACTTATACACACTCATCTTTTTATTTTGTTTTTTAAATAATGTAGTCTTAGGGCTCCTGAGTAGTTCAGTCAGTTAAGCAAACGACTTCAGCTCAGATCATGATTTCGCAGTTCATGCGTTCAAGCTCCATGTTGGGCTCTGTGCTGACAACTCAGAGCCTAGAGCCTGCTTCAGATTCTGTGTTTCTGTCTCTCTCTGCCCCTGCTTGACATTCTCTCTCTCTCTCTCTCTCTCTCTCTCTCTGTCAAAAATAAATTAAAAAACATTAGAAAAAAATTTTAAATAATGTAGACATACTGATTAAACTTTTTATAACTACATTTTCTACTTAGTATATTATGCACATTCTGTGTGTCAAATATTTTAATGTTTATTTATTTTTGAGACAGAGAGAGACAGAGCATGAAAGGGGGAGAGTCAGAGAGAGGGAGACAGAATCAGAAACAGGCTCCAGGCTCCGAGCTGTCAGCACGGAGCCCGACGCAGGGCTCAAACTCACGGACCGTGAGATCATGACCTGAGCCGAAGTCGGACGCCCAACTGACTGAGCCACCCAGGCGCCCCTGTATGTCAAATAGTTTAAACCAGTTTTTGTCTGCCACCTCAATCTGCCTCTCCACCCTGTTCCAATGACTTTAGGGGACATTTATGTCTGAAAACATTTTTTATCATCACAACGGAGGGCATCTAGTTGGTAGAGTCCAGGAATGCTGCAACATACTACATCCACACAACAATCTCCCACAACAAAGAAATAACCAGCCCCAAATTCCAGTAGTGCCAGTTGGGAAAACTGGCACGTTACCATGATTTTTAATAGCTGTACTATATGCAGTCATGTAACCATACCATGACTTATTTAACCAGTCCCCTGCTGTTTGGCATAGTGATTACAAGCTGCTCTGTACCTCCATATGCAGGATAAAAATTCATCAGAAGAATCATCAGGTCACAGAATACCAAGGCTATTGATACATTTTGACAAATAGCCTCGAGAAAGGTAAATTACCAAGCACAGAATATTGTACTCCCCACACTTGATATGTTAGTGTCATTATTTTTCCTTTAGAAAGGATGAGGTTAATGTTTAGGGCATAAGGGAAGGCGAAAGAGAAAGGGATTCCAAGCAGCACAAGGACAGGGGATTGTGTATCCCATTATGGGCACTGGTGGACCAGGCACATCACTTCAGTCACTTGTGTGCTCACT